GCTAATAGTAAGAACACACTGAACAAAAGTCAGGAACTTTATATCAGCCATGAACAGAATACATACGTTAATAGTTATTTAGTTAGTGGTTCAGTTAGTTATTTATATGCATCGTTTGGCATTGTGATACTGTTTGTGATTTGTAATTTTCAATGGAGGTCTTCATTCAAGTGAGATACGACTCCCTGAGGAGTGATCAAAGGCCGCAAACACACACACACACACACACACACACACACGTTCCTGTCTCTTCATTCCTCTCAGAGTCACATCAGCTTGCCAGCTTTGTCTGCTATCACATCTCGCCGTATGCCCCGCCATCTGGGGACGTTTTCTCCTCCCTTTGTTTCATCCTTCTGTTCTCCCTCTATCCTCTCTATCTACTTCTTTTTTCTTGTTTCATCCCCTAACTTCCTCTGCTTCTCAACCCCTCCTCCCCCAAACGACCCCCCCTCCCCCCTCCTCCCCCGCCACTTTCCTCATTTCCTGTCATCTCAGAGTGTGAACTGTGAATTTCCTCCACCGTGTGTCGTGCTGGGTCTCAGGTGAGCGCCGTCTCCTTCTGTGTGGCTTGGCAATTGCCTGCGAGCGCTTCCTTCCTTTGTAAAGCCCGCCGCCTCTCTCTAGGAATATGCTAATTGCCTCTGGACATTGATCAGTGTTCATTAGATCGGCCTGTATTCACCGTAACAGATGCTCACGCACATTTGTTGGCGGATTTCTTTTGCTCGTTCTTTTTTTTTTTCTCCCCGAGAGCGTTTTATATATATATATATACATATAAATATATATATATATATATATACGGACAGACACGTAATTACTCTTTTATCTCTTCTTGCAACACAGTTACCTGATATATCTCAAGCTTGTCATGTCAAGATAATGAAATAACAAAAACTGGTCGGCGTCCTTCAAAAACTAATTATATTGTAATCATTTTGTGGAATCTTATTTTTGCAGAAAAACATTGCTCACCTCTACATTCTCCGGACTTTTGTTCATTAAACCACGTGGCAATATCTTGTTACTGAACACAGAAGACAGAACAGGCATCTGAAGATGTGTTACGCATATGTTTTCATTTATTATCAAGGAATGGACTTGTGTGCCACTTTCCATAGCGCCAAATTAAAAGTGTGCATAACTGATGTTGTGCTTCATCTGGGGTCTTTTGTCTCTGTGCACAATGCCACCGTCCCGCTACGACCAGAGGAGGGGTTTCCCTGACAACAACAAAGCCTTGGATAATGATGACAGATGAAGTCACATTGTGAGGTGGTTGTCAGGGTAATGAGACGGACCTTCTAATGAGGGCTAATTGAAAGTCTTCACATGAAAATATTGTGGATGGCACCAAGCGTTGTGCATTTGTAACTGACTACAAATGCTGCATCAGAATATTTGAAAAACGACATTATCGCTGATGTACCGGGTGCGGATTTTGTACATTACCTCTTTCTCAAGCGCAACAATCCCGCCGCTGGGATGAAGGTACTTCACTTCATTGTACATGTTTGCTTAGTGTGAGAGTTGTCAACGCTGTGATACTGAAAGAGGCCGCAGACGATGTTTCCACAAGAGCTAAAAGTATGAAACTAAACTCAACTCCGGTGAAGAAAACTTTTTTAATTATGTTCTGCAAAGATTCTCCATTTCTGGGTCAACTCCATTAAGCCTTCAGAGTGAAGGACTCATCAAGTGATGATGAGTCCATGGTCTGATTAGTGTATTCATGTCCAGGTAGAATACGTTTTATTAGAGTGGTATCTAGTTCTGAGTGACCCCTGTAGTCATTAATGTCCTGATACCCAAAGGGTTGGATTTCTCTTTCTGTGCCTCTCTTCCCATTCTTTCAGATCCCCCACAACCAATCATATTGTCCATCAGCAAAAGCTTAATTATCTTCTAACCCCTCAGGAATGTCGGACGGACGAACAGGTAGGAACATATCACATCCCAGGTATATTAATAGGTAGATATTATAACAAGTTCTCCATTGATCATGCATTCTCCAGAGCTGACATCTTTCAGTCCCACATGCCATGTCTCTGGGTGTCTCACATTCCTGGTGTCTCTTTTCTACAACTATGTTGTAATGGAGATGAACGTTTAAATGTGTAGTTTCCCTTAATTCTCATCTAACATTAACTCTGTGGTTGTAAATGCCTCAGTAAATTTAGCAATAACTGGCTTGTTTAAACACATTTGCACACAAATACATGCACAGAAAGATGTTATTCATCCAGATGGGCGTCTTTATTGGTTCTTTCAACGGATACTTGAAACCATGAACATATGGGCACCGTTACACACACACACACACACATAAACATTTGACCAAACCAAAGAGAGTAAATATCTACGTAATTCTCCATTAAAGTGGGATTCCACATTCATTTTATTTACATCTTGGTTAATTACTAATTCTACTGTTTGAATATCAGATGTGGCGCAGCTAATACCTTAAACGTGCAACACACATTGACCCCATAATGGACATAAATTCGTATTGGTGTCAGTTTGAATTTATCGATTTTATAGTATGTTTTTTTTCATTTGGGCTGTTTTACTTGCACAGGGAAAGTGGCTTCTGGTTCACTGTTTGAATTCAGATTTGAGTAAAAGACCCTACAGAGCAGATGGAGGAGCCAACAGAAACGTCTTCCAAGAGTCCAATATCCCCTTCACTGATTATATCGAAAGATAACTTTAGTTTAAACCATATGTTTTATTCATAGAAAGCCCTTATGATAATTTCATATAATTAAATCATTTATAACATACAGAGCATAAGAAATGGTCTCTTGAGAACATTAACACAGTGGTGATCAGTGTCCGTTACCGTTGTTCAGAAGATCAGCCGCTGACCTGCTTTTAACCATGAAATACTAATTAGATCCATTAATTATCCCTGTCCAGTGAGATTCATGCCAATGAAATGGTCTGTCTAGAGTGTTTGATTTATGTGTCATAAATGTCTTATTCTAGTTCAATGTACTACACCGAGGTCATTTTCATGTATTAAAGGTTAATTAGTGCAGTATAAGGCAGTGAAGACAAGTCAAATTGCTTAAAAGTAAAACCCAATAAAATATAATATGATAAATTCATAGGTTAGCTTTTAATTCATAAAATTAAAACACCAAAATGCTCTGGTTGAGATTGCACAAACACCCTTTGCCTTTAACTGCATGGATGCCAACGTGGGAATGAAGCTAACGAGGACCAATAGGATAATTCAACGCCAAACGTGCTATCACTCCAACGCAAAAGTCTCAAGAACTAAAGTCAGAACAATGACTAAACAACGCAAAACATGGGACACGACGCAAAACCCAACCCCAAAACTATGGTAATTTTGCTTGTGTGAGGGGTTTTAAGGGCGGCATATGTTTTCCTTTATAGTCCGGAGCTGTATTTCATCATACAATTAGTGTGTTTCTACCTGAGGAGGCAGAAGAAGGTGCCTGAGGGGAGATGGCTCACTCAAGGATACGCAGCGCCCCCTCCTGGTGGGACGCCTCATTCGCCTTAATGCTGTTCTCGTGTCATGTAACGCTTCCTATTGAGTGGAGGGGGATTACAAGAGATCACTTACTAAATGCTGGATCTCCAAGAAACTGCTTGTGACTCAAACACATTCACAACTGCTAATCATTGTGCTGTTCATGCATTTTTGAATTTCATGGTTCTGCTCTGCCAGCTAAAAAGCGGCAAATGTGTGATCAAACATGTATTATTCTTCAAAATAAACCTAATTCAACAAAACCATTGGCAGCCACGTTTAGGATGTATTGTGAAGAAGATCTAACTAAACTCCTGCTCCTGTTGAAACGGCATTGACCAGCCAACGGCCTTTTCATTCATGTAAAAAGTCATTACATCACTATTTGTCCCTGGGCGACAGAAGCATATGGCAGCACAACAGCTGTTGATATGCACATGCAAGCATGGGTGTAAATATGTGGTCTGTTGTTACTATATGAAGCCGGTAACAGCAACTTTTAATGAATATTGACTAGAGTCTTTTCTTTTAAAGGAACCATTCAATTTCTGTGTGTTCCCGTTAGGAAAACATGTTTAATGTGCCACTGTCGTCTCTGTTGAGTAACACTGATATATTTTAAGAGTCTCTGCTGCCAAATTTAAAAAGGTTTACTTAGTAAATTCACTTCATGTCATAGTATTATAACACGTTTTTATTAGCCTGCTTTGATCTCACTCTAATTGATTCTTTTAAAAGAAACCTTTTCACTTTTGACTGATAATATAAACACATTTAAAGTAATATCTAGAAGACTAAGTTGGTTCCTAACGAAGATGATTAGAGAAATGGCTTCTTCTCTGCTCCTTCACTTCACATTATTATGAGATAGTTTCATTATTATTATTAATATAAGATACGTTTCCAAAAGATCCATCATCTCCGATCCAGTTGGCTCGTCATCTGAAAGCTTTAATGAAACAATACAATTTCACTAAAACTGTGAAGATGTAACATACTTTGAGAAAGGCTTCTTCCAGCAGCTGAAACTGCACACTATTTTGATGCATGAAGCACTTTAATCATTTTCAAACTACTGGCATTTGTCTATTCTCGATTAGTTTAAGCAAAGTAATGAACAACCAGACAGAACAAGAAGTTAATTCTTATCTCTCCTCCATTATAAGAGATAAGAAAGGTCATGATTATTAGTCCCGCTGCGGGGAAACTTCCCGGGATCAACGCAGCAAAAGGTAAAGTGCACACAGAGACACAGACATATTATAACCACTCTACACCCACCCAGCATCCAACAACGATTAATTTATCCAGCAAACTATAGTTATTCATTCAACCCGCTTGTCATCTGAACCCACACAATGCATCCGCTGCGTTCACCACTAGAGGTCAGACCAAGCCAGCTGCAGCCACACGGGGCAGGCAGAATGTTTGGCCTGGTTAATCAGGACGTTAAGTAGCAGCTCAGGGTGAGTCATTTTTCATGACACCCAATTGCCCTCAAGGAATTCATTCACTGCTTCCTTCCTCTTTTGGAATGTGTCCATGTTAAGTATCTCTGCAACGGTGGTGGCCTGCTGCAAAACACGCTGGATTTTAATTGCACAACGAAATGCAAATGCAGTTGAATGGCTGGCGGGATTGAATCTTCACAGAGATTATGTTGGTCAGTCAGAGAGTACGGCACGTATGGAGAATCTGTGCCAGGCTACGTCACCAGGAGCCCCACAAAAGGTAGGAAGGAAAAAATAAAAAAATGAAAGAAAAGGAGGGAGATAAGAAGGTTTACTGACTTTCTTCCAGAATGAATATTAAATCCTGAATATTTTGCAAACATCTGAGAGCAACCATGAATATTGTCACTTTAGCTTGATGGTTTTTATACGCAAGTAACCACTTCAGCGGTGTTTTACGGCGCTGTCGAGTCAACCTTGGGTCTGCATAATGAGTGACATATTCTTTTCAATTTGAGGGGGCGGTTCTGCACACTGCAGTCTGTTCACCTTGTAAAATGTCAGCACGCAAGTTGAACAAATCGTTTTCTCTTCGGCACAACTTTAAAATCAGTCGGAGACCAACGGGACTCAAAAAGGTTGGCATGTTGAAATTCCACCCGGCCATTGGATGTTCCTGCGAGCTGCTAAGCACCAAGCTTAAATGTAACGTGCAGTTGCTGCTCCAGTCACAAGTCAACACTCATCAGCCGTCAGCTGGTAATGAAGCCAAACATCCCAGTGCAGAGTCAGTGTAACACCTGTTTACACAGATGGCAGCAGGCCGGTGTTACGATTCCAGGACCGCACCATTCATGTCATCCATCACGCTTCGGGAGAGGTTATCATTTCTTTTAACTGTACGCATCTCATTGAAGAAAAAGAAAAAGTCTTTCCTCTTTAATCTCTTCATCTTTTTGTTGTTGTGTCCCTCTGGTCTCGGGCACGACAGACCAAGGAGACATCATGCAGACAAATGGATGGCATTACTCATTTCATTAGAAGAATGAATTATTCTCAACCTATGTGCTGTGGATTTAATCAATCAAAGTGGAAATATATTCATGCAGCGTGATTCTGCATCATGGAGCATTTTCCTAACCCTGCACCTCAGAAGGTAACAGAGACTCAAATGTAATCCCTGTGACAACCAGCAAACCCCCCAAAGAGAACACATGCTTCATTTGAGTTTGATTGGTGACTCTTGGAGACCCTCTAGAACCCCACAGACTGGAGGGGCCGCATGCGAACAAACGCGTCACACTCAAAAATGACGCAGAGAAAGGACGCACACACACACACACACACACAAGAGTGCTGCTTAACCGACCGCACACTGCGAATCAAAGCTTTCTCCAGACAAAGTCCACCTGATCAGTATGTAGCGGACTTGCGGTGTTGTTCAGGGGGCCGACGGCGAGGGAGGGAGAGCTGAACTAAGGGTCACAAAGAGCCGTGAGTGAATAGATTCAGACAAAGAGAGAGAGCTGAAAAGAATCAGCGTGCTAAACTCCTGCACTCCTGGAATACAAATACTTTTATTATAAAAGAGTTTTCAGCGACTGCTACTAATCATATTTTCTATTGACATATTAATATTTAAACAGTTCTCGGCTCCCGTCTCATCGCTTCGCCAGGCGCCCCGACTAAAAATAAATGTCAGCTGAGTTAACGTTTTCAATATTTCACGTTTCAGTACATTGAAAACGCGGCACAAGCGTCTCACCGAGGTGATGACACCTCCAGTGGTGGAGGATTAACTCCAACCCCGTGGAATATGAAATGTACACTGCCACACGGTATGTCTTGTGTGTGTGTGTGTCCGCCTAGTTTTCCCACACTTTTATGTGCCTAATTGAATGTTGGTTAATGTTCAGCGTAATGACGTAAGTGTGTCCGTGTAGAAATGCAGAGCACACCGGCTCTCAGGAGAATGTTCTTTGTGTCGTGTTTGAAAGGAAAGTAGAGGAAGCATTTTGTCACGTCCGGTGCAACACTGGGCCCCTGTTGAATTTCAGCATGCTTTTTTTGTGTGGGTTTTGCCTGCAGAAAGATGTCAGGCACGTGGAGAAGGTCGTTTATCTTGCAGGAGAATGCTGGTTGTTTTTTACATTAATCAAATGAACCACCTACGATAAGGAAAGGAAAGCATTAGAGACTATTTAAATGGTAGGACAGACATTTAGAAAATAGTGATGGAAAGAACTCTTGTTCCCAATCATGTATTTATGTGGTAATATTGGAGAAGAAGAAGTCCAGAACCTCACAGCTCATCTGTCTCACTTTGTCAGTCTCTGCAATTTTTACTGCTCTGTCTGGAAGTGTTTCTGAATCTTGTTCCCGTTTTGTTTGACTCTTTTTAGTTTTTTTTCTCTGTTTGTGTCTGCGTCAGCTTTGTTCCGCCTCTGATGATGTTCCCTTCTCTCGTTCTCTGTGACTTTCTGTCTCCGTATTTCAGTGAGTTTTTGAAGTTGTTTGTGATAAGATACGTTTCATCCTTTCCCTCGCCCTCCCCACCATGTTCGCTCTCTCTATTCCAATCTTTTTTTTATTACATAATGCGGTTCAGGCTGATGTGCTGTCACAGTAAGTCTCCCCGATGACCTGTAAGGTGTGTTCACGTCAACATTGAATAGTCTTTCCTCCTTTGGTTCAGTCCGCTTGGCCAATTGAGAATTATATTATTTGAACTAGTGCAGGACCGAAGAACGACACTGCGAATGTTGCAAATGTGAAATCAATATAAAAGTATTTGTTAGAAATAAGAATGTATGGTAGTCAGTTATAGAAAGTCCTTTCAATTGACAAATTGAAAGTATTTGTTGGAACATAAACTTTGTTCTAGAGAATTCTTTTGATTATATGTATGAGTAAGAGGTGTATTATTAACACTCATTAATAGCTTATTCTAGTAGTGCGCTGTCGTGTCTTGTTATTGGATTTTATAAAAGTAAATGACATTTGCACAAAGTTTACAGCTTTGCCTAAACGCCACGTCAATGGGTACATTTAGGAATGTAGAGGCCTTAAGATGAACAAGAGAGCATTTAAATAGGCAGTAATACAAAATGGTGAGTGATTAAACCCCAGAGAAGAACATACAATTAATGACATACAATTAACTGTTAGTCCGGACTAGCAGGAATTTGTAATACAATAATTATGAGAATAGTTGATGTCATTCGGTACCATTTATCGGTCAGCAGGTGCGCATCAGGTATCAATTATTAGCTAAATATTTGACTTGGCGGTTGGTGCATAACAGCAGACAGTAAGACAAAAATAGTGCAAGAACAACTAGTTGAATTGTTGTGTTGTTAAAAACTACTAACGAATTATCACTGTGGAAGAATTCCTGCTCCATTTTGCTGTCGTAATATGTGACATAGAGGTCTAATTGCATTCCTGATGAATATTGCTCCGAATCAGCCATTTCTTAGTTGAGCTGTTTGGGGAACCAAGATAAACCCTAAAGTTGTAAGAGCAACTTCCGTCTGTTTTATTACAATATGAATATGAATATTTACAAAATGAACCCGAGACATGGACAGATGTGCACATGTGCTTACATGCAGTTGATCGTTTTTGTAAAATCCATCCTGGGTAAACATTTAAATGGCTTGAAAACATTCAAAATGTGGCAAAACAACGGCGAGCAAAAATCCATGCTAAGTTGTGACTACTCTTCATCAGGACTGTCCAATAAACAAGTTACTTGTGAGTCAACGTGGCACGTGTTTACAATCCCCAACTGGGGGGAGGGGGGGGTTCATAATCTGCCAGCGTGACCCCGAATGAACGGAATATCCAACACGCCGCTGGATGGGATTCACGCTCAGCGCCTTTCAAATGAGACTCCGATGAGCCGTGTGCCTCCACGCTGCCATGCTGCTTGTCCACGCTGAGACAGCGAGCGCGAGCCGGACTTCTGCTGTGCAGGCGCGCTCACGGCTGAGTGTGCACACCTACTCGTGCTGACAAAAAAGGCCGGTTGGCTTCGCCCGCTGATATTAATTTAGCTGTGTTTGTTAGCACGTGTGTGTGTGTGTGTGTGTGTGTGTGTGTGTGTGTGTGTATGTGCTCGTGGGCGTGTGTAGTTAATTATTCAAACTTATTCCAACAGCCTGCACACCAACCCGTCCACGCCACCAATGCATCTCCCACAAGAGACAATTATATCCACTATGCTTCGAGTGTTTGTGTTCATGCCTTCTTATGCAGCACATGCTTCAGTGAGTGAACATTTTCTTACTCACATATATATAAATATATTTTTTGTGTATATTTGTGAGCTGCTATCTGAATCATTCCTCGCCCTGCTGCTATGACCACCTGAGCTAAGGAGACACCGCGTCGGTCAATGGAAGATGGCTTTTATGTCCTCTGGGAACCGTCCATCACTCTTTCCCTCTCTGCTGAACTGTTGCCCCTCCTTCTTACAACCAACTAGCGTTTCTCCTGCTCCTCCTCCCCTCGGCCTTCTCCTCTTTCCTCCACCCTTTTCCTGGATACCCAATCTCCCTTTCGCCTCCATCCCCGTCTCTGATCGCCCACAGCTCTTCCCCCTCGTCTGTAGCGAGATGTGAAAGGTGGATGTTCTGAGCGGCAGTCAGGTGAGTCTTCAGACGAGGAACCTTCTAGTAGAACATGAACGTCTGCATGTTCCCGCACAGATTTTATTTCACCCCTCTCTATGGCTCACGGTGTTTTACTCCCCTGACACTTTTATCAAACTCAGCACTTGCTGCACCGCTCAAAACTGTCTCTTTGCACCCTTCTTGTCTGGGAATAGTTTTTTGGAATTGGAAATTGTGGATGAGAGTTGGGAGTAATCTTTTCATTGTGAACTTTACAGAAGAGCATTTCTTTTATCAGGGGCTGTCAGAAAATAAGTTCTACGTGCAACACGGCGATGGTCAGTTGGCGGAGCAGCCGGCTAATATGAACCTGGTGAACACCGAAGACAATGAATAATGAATGAGTTCATTTCATGGAAATGTGTCCACACAAGTATTTGGTAGTCAACAATTGATATATTATTCATAAATGCTGCGTTTCTGCGACAGAATACAGATTGTGTTGCAGTTTGATTTTGACCTTTTGAACACCAGACCAGGCAGAAGTTATAAACCTTAATAGAAGTATATCCCTCACATTTGTATGTTTTTTTTTTTCAACTCCAGTTTAGTTCTGTCATTTTGCCTCTCATGCAATGTGCATGTGTACAGTCTTTTAACCGGA